AGGAGGCAGTTGTCCTTATATAAAAGTTTCGAGATCATAATCACTTGATTCTTAAAAAAATTACCGTGGTGTTGCTAATTATTACTACTATCAATGAAGAAAATTTTCGTGGCCACTCCTTATGAACTTGTAGGCTAGTATAAAGTGACAGGCTAGATAGTAATCTTCATAGTATAATCTAAATAAATTATACAATTACTTAATATTTAGTTACGATTAAAATTGTAGCCAACGGATACGGTTTTTAGATGTAAAAACTTGCAGTTGAACGTATAGCATAATAAAAAATAATAAACAATAGTGAATAGAGGGTTACTATTATCGGAAAGTTATGATTACTTTTTATTTTATCTGGTAAGAAACATGAAATAAAAGTTTTAATATTTTATATGAAATCAGACTCAGCTCGTAATTTTCTGTGGTAGAAACCCTGAAGAAGTAGAAGTTAATATGTATTTTAAATGCTACAGTAGCTAAGATTCGCGTAATTATACAAGAAGAAATTAACTGTGATGTAACCTTTCTAAATTAACTAATTTTATTTATTTATTAAATAAAAAACAGGTAAGTCAAAAAGGGTATTAAATTATTTGTGTATAGGTCAGATATTTGACTTTACAACTTTTTATTTTAACAGCACATAATGTTTGATTTTATTAATTTAACATAATGAAATTATTTTTTTTTATTTATTAAATTTAAATTTTGTTTTCCATTCTGTATGATGATATGTATATTAACCTTTTATTTATTATATGAAAATATTTAATAATTTGTAGAATATATATTTTTTAAATGATTTGCATTTCTTATGTATTGTATATTATTTTTTTCTTTAAATTTGTTTAGATATTTCGACACCATATAAAATATACGAATGTTCTCAAATATTTTTTCAATCTGTTATGTGGCTATGGAAAAAATAACCAAAATTCTATAACCTTAAATCCAAACTTTGCTACCTTGTCATATAATTCTTGCAAGTGCGCGTAATTATAAATCTTTAAAACATACCTAAAATTTTCTTACTTAAATTTTGCCTTGTTAATTATGCTGTAGCACGTTTGCATGTAATTCAATTAGAAATAATTTATATTTTTTTTGCATGGTTTTAAGAAAATTTTAATAGAAAAAGAAAATTTTGAAAATTTGTATGCTCATTTTTCAACGAATCTTTGAAGAAAATAGTGAAAAATAGGTAATTTTTGTAAAACTGTTGATCTTTTTTCTATTGGTTAATATTTAAAGTAGAAGAAAATATTAATATATTAGTTCGTATAGTTTAAGAGAAAGATATACGAAATTTTCAATATATCAGGTAAGCAGTATGATAATTGATATAATGAGGCTGAATTCCATAATACTGCCACTTTTCTCGCTTGGCTTACATTAGGGTTGTAACGAAATAACTTGAAATAAGAGTGGAAGGCCTGTTTAGAAGAGTCTCATATGTCACAATAATATGTGGATAAATGATCATTGTCTGAATTACTTGGTGAAATTATTAATAGAGATGATTGCAAGGAAAAAAGAGGAATCTAAGATCCATCTTTAAAGTATAATATTATGTTTCTTCAAACAAAAAGAAGAGTAACCTAGGCTTACGAACAATAAAATTGTGTCCAATAAGATAAATATCGAATAATTATTCTATTTCAAATAGTAACCCTAAAAAGTCTTTAGCAGAATAAAACAAAAATTAAATTGAAAAAAATCATTGGATCAATGAGCATGTTGTTTTAAAAGAATCTTGCTTTTGCATCTGTTTTATAATGAATTTCTATTATTTTACACCTATTTAGCGTCATTCCTTAAAATTTCTAATTTAAACAGTTTTCGAGATTTTTCGAAAAAGTGTTCGACTAGTTTATGTCTATCTTGCTTTTTCATCTATTTTATAATAAATTTCTTTCATTTTACATCTATTTAGCGTCATTACTTAAAACTTCTGATTCAAACCGATTGTTTTCCGTAATTTAACCAGTTTATTCATGTTTTGTTTAAATTAAAGATTTAAAAACGAATTCCTAATTATAGAATAATGTGTTTTCTTGTTATTTTACATTCTTTCAGTCATAAATATCTACTATTTTCAAAATAAAAAACTCTATTTCTTGATCATTGTTTTGACCTTACAAGGATGTTTATATTTTGCATTTTTCTGTCACTTGATTTATCTTAAAACATTGTGTAGCCATTCTTTAAATTTGACAAGTCGCGTTACTTTATATAGTTCATAATTATTTTTATTAGAAATGTTTTGATAATTTTTTATAATATCCAAAATTTCGTACTGTATACATCACTCATCATCTTAAGAGTTAACGATAGTAACTACAAGACTGCAGCATACTATATAAACACTGTCCACAAGACTGGACCATTTTGCTCATAAGATTGGAACAAACTGTCCACAAGAATTTACCATACTGTTCATAAGACTGGACCATACTGTCCACAAAACTGGACCTTACTAATCCCAAAATATAACCATATAGTCCCCAAAACGTAATAATATTGATGAAAAGAATTTTGAAAAGTCGAAAAGCCGAAAAGTCATAAAATAATATACAATTTTAAATAAAATATGTCATTAACTGCAAGAATTAAGTAAACATAATATTGATAATGGTATAAAACATGCAATAGATTTTGTTGCAACGAATAATAACATTTGAAACTAAATTAGTAATTTAACAATAAGAAAATAAAAAATAGTACCTATCTGTATGAAAATTTTGTAAGTAAATAATCATTTTCATAATTTTATTTTATTCTTAAATCTTCATCAATTATTAAAATGCTTATATTATATTAATTAATTATTTAAATTATATTATTATTATTGCGAAATTTAAATGGACTATTCGTTACAATCCTTATATCAAATTTCCTCTCATACAGATTTAACTTTATAAAATATATACCAATATCTGATAAATTGAAATATTCGTGAGATTGCATAAAATTCTTATCGATGTTCGTGGTGTGTTTTTTTTATAATAGAACTGCTTACTTTTCTAAAAATGTATTTTAATAACATTGGTTTTTAAAATGAATTCTGATATTTCATAAATTGAAGTATTTGTCTCTAAATTTATTGTTAATATTGAAAAGAAAGTGCCAAAGACTATATAGAATAATTTTTTAATGAATATTTTTCAATCAATTGGACTATTTACCCGTTTTTATAATTATATAAATAAAGGTCATAATTATAGTAATCCTTAAAATTGCCACATTCTGGCTTTCCCTGTATGTAAGTATATATTTATTTTATATATTTATAAATACCCCAATTATGAATTAACAATTTTGTATTTATATGAATTTTTTAATACATACACTTATATCCTATTATTTTATAAATAATAAACTTTCTTAATATATCTTAGTTACCTATTCTATCAATATTTAAAATCTATACTTGCCTTTTACTCTACTTCATCCATGTTTCTTATTCTTGTTGTTCTTCTAATATTTATTACCATAATAAATATAACGCACAAGTTTTAAACGGTTGATTTGAAAATTTTGGCGAGGTACCAGGTTGTATGAAATAAATTTAAATTAACTAGCTAATAATAATGAAATACTTGGACTCATATGGTTAGATTTTACATTCTAATATTTTAAATATCAAAAATATTGTATTAGCAAGACAGACATTATAATGAATTTATTAAATTATGTAATATATTAACAGTTTTTGGAATATTCGTGTGAATATGTCAAGCCACGTGTATGCTTTAAAGAGTTTTAAACATAAACAAAAAGTTAGAACATGATTTAAATAAAATATAAATTGACTAATTATTGATTAATTATTGATGTGTATCGTTAAATATATATTAAATAATGGCTGTTAATTGAATGACATATTAGTTATAATTTTATACAGATAGCAGATAATTCCATATACTCGTAAATAAAAGTTTTGTACAATTTGGTCAATATAATATTATTGTAAAAACAAAAAATATGTAAAATTGTGAAAAATATTTTTATTTTATATAAAAACAGTATTTTTACAATCTTGTTTATATAGAGTTGCAAAATAAAGTCAATAATTAATTAATCAACAAACTACATTTACAAATAAAATTAAAAAAGTAGTAACCTTAAATTAAAAGAAATTGAAATAAATTGCGAAAGAAAATGAATATAAATTTAATTCTATAAAAAATATATTTTAAATATTATTTATTAACAGTATTTGTAACTATTGCGATTTATCTAAAACAATAAATACAATAATTTCTTGAAACTGCTACTACTGAGATAAAAATAGATTTTACAATTAAGGTAAGTAACTTTTTCATTTATTATTTAATTAAATATAATAATATTCACTATTTCAGTATATATCTGGTATCTTGCCAACATTTTACGTTACTATAATAAATTTATAACAACCCTTATTAGAAAATTTCTGTATTTCGGACTGCTTCCCAAATTAAGATTATAATAATTTTCTTTAAATTAAAGCTTAGTTTTATTAATTGAGCAGGATTAATCATAACAGCTTCAGTATCTTCAGGTAATGCAATATTCATCGCTGCCTTCATTATTAAAACAAAATCATTTGGTGCTTTTTAATAAAAATATTGCTTTGTATCCGCTAACTTTTTTTCAGATTTTTGTCTGTGGTTAATTTTTTAAAACTTTAAAGAATCTAAATCGCCATAAGTACAAAATTTAAAATTGTTCAATTGTTCATCGTTAATAATTCCGGTAGAAGTATCGTTATATATCGTTAAAAATTAGTTAATAGGTGTTTAAAATCTTCAGTACTACGAGAAATTGGTTAAATATAGAACAAAACAGTTAATTCTAATTTTAACTGAAATTTCTCATTGGAAATTTATATTTTAACTCGATCATTCTACAAACTTGAATAACGAAAAAGTAAATCTTAGAACGATCATATTAAAATATCGATTTCCGACAACAAAATTTATTAATTCAGGTAGGTAAATTATAGATTTCAATTAAAACAGTTACAGCATACAAATTTTCAATTTGGAATATGAAGAAAACGATAAAAAAATGTAGTGGGCCGACTGACTTTACATTTACAGATGACCATCATCCTGCTCCTACTTTTACACCGCCAGAGTTACCCAAGAGAGCTCAAAATCAAGGTATTTCTTACAACTATAATCCGCAAGTCACTCGAGTCTTTATTTTGCATTTACAATATAATTTGCGAGTGCACTCGAGGTTTATTTTGCAGTTTTTTTTAATTTATGGCCATATAATTGAAATTAATAAAAAATATATCGAAATGGTCTCAACCTCCCAATGCAGTTTTAAATTCAAACAAAATTCTTCTTCTTTTATTATTTTAATTTTATATATAGTTAGTTTAATTTTGTATTTTTGTATTTGTGGGTTACTTTATAACTGAAATTGTAATATATTCTCTGGTAAAGACAAAGTACAGGCACCCACCGTAAATAGATGTCTGACAGGGAGTTATAATTTTATTTAATACTCTTGCTTCTATGCTTCAACAGACAAGTTATTAATATGGGTCAACAGGGTTGGAAAACCGAATGTTGTAGTATAGAGGTTCGTGCACTTACTATAGATGAGGAATTAAAAACTTGTTTTTCGTGCAATATTTATTAAAATTAGTAAACAAAAAACTCTGAATTATTAGTTTATCTTCTCTTTAATATATTTTTTTTTAAAGATGTTCAAATCACTGAAAGTGTCAATAACAGCTGGTGACTAAGCTTTCGCCTTCTTATTTGAGCTTACCTCAAAGACAATGGTACTCCTCCTTCACTGCTTTAACTATGAGTTTAATAAAGCCAATGAAATCTTCATGGTATTTAGAATAAAAAAATTACCGACAAAAAATAAAAAATAAAACGATATTTTTTAAAAAATAATCATTATAAAAAATTGTATGCATAAATAATTATTAATAAAAAAATATTCAATTAAATAAAAAACATTTAAAATAAGTGAGGTTATATTTAATTATACCATACTATTGAACACAAAATGTAATTAGGTACGTATTAAATAATATCAAATACAAAAACAATATATAATATATACACATACTTGTTAAAGCGCTTTGCTAATTTTAATCCATTTTAAATGAAATACAAGTTTATAATTGTTTAATATAGTTAATCAGTCATAGATGTCAAAAATAAAATTGTAACTCTTTGTTTTAAATGTAATTTTTCATCATACATGTGTATGCTTCTTTAATTATTAGTAATTAAGTAGACTGCATTGTAGAGCTTGTTTGTAATGTAGTTTTACTGTAAAATGAAGACTTTAGATTCTAAAGATACATTTTTAATAAATAATCCAATTTCTCAATCAAACATTTAAATATAATACAATCACGTGATAAATCCATAAAATTAGGTACTAACTGTAATTTGCTGTTGCTAATAACTAATAAATATTCACGCACCAGTCTTTCTTCAAGCTTAAAAACATCCTGAGCACCTATGCTTATTATGCTTTTTTATATTATTTTTAATTAATGATTGTTAAATTAAATACCTTCTTTTTTGTTAGTAATATATATTAAAGTTCCTTTGATGTGTATATGTATATTAAAACTATCGGTATCTAGATCACTAGAATGTATATAATAAAATAAAAAATTATATTTTCCAATGATTTTCCATAAACACGGTTTTTCCTTTTTTGTACTTATATCAACGTTTTTTATGCGGTGTCCCAATTTGTCCTCTTCCTTTTCATGAGAGGTATTAATCCTTTTGTCCAATGTTAATGCATGTCACAAGTGTCTAATTTTCCTATTGCACCATCTTATCAAACCACTAGAATTTCTATAGAGCTGATTCTACTTCCAAACGTTTTTGCTCATCTAAAAATAGTAGATTTTTAATCGAACAAAGGATCTACTTTCTCTTTCATCTTCGATTAAACTGTGTATTGCTGGATTTAAGTTTCGTATATGGTTAATAGGTTTTATGCAAAAGGCCATCAAACAATAATATTGTTGTATTTTTTTATCGATGGTATTAAGTCGTAGCTAAAGCTATCATTCAAGAATTCGTTCATCCACACTAGAACAATTTTTAAAGCGAAAGATCTGTAAAAGTTTAACCAACTCCCTTTTGATCTTATTTTCATACAGGGTGGTACACATTAAAAAAAATTGGTAGATTATTGATATAGAGCTATCATGTAAAAAAATATTCTATTTCTACAAGACTAAAAATTATGATTGATCACTCGCCTTTTGTTTAATTGAAAACTCCCTGGATTTTTACATTTTTAGAAGTATTAGATGACAATTCAGTCATGGTTATATTTTGGATTAATTGAAAGCAGCGTTCAAAAGTAAAAATTAATAATGTCACTGTAAACTAATGTGAAATGGACTAAATATGAATTAATATTTATGGGAAAAATCTTTCTTGTAGAAGCTGATCATCGTCCATTAGTGTTGATGTTAAATTTAAAAGAACCCAATTCAAAAATTAATAATATGGCGCATTAAATTAGAGGAGTACAAAATAGTTTACAAAAAGGGTAAACTAAACAGTAATACAGATGCCGTTGAATCAAACTAAATGCTCTTGAAACTGAGTGTAAAGATAATATTATTTATATAAAGATTTCTCACTAGTAATGACATAAATATGAATTAATATATATGAGACAAAAAGGAAAAATATCGATCAAATATTTTTAAGATATCCTGTAAAATTTAATATATCTTTTCACATAATAGCTCTATATCTCTATTATATTCTTTTTTTAAGTGTGTAAGTGTAAGTATAGTGCAGGTATCTTTTTCTGCCTGGGTAGGAACTATCGGAATGAAGAAGAGTCAGAGAGCTCATAGCGCACCTACTTGAAACGGAACTGAAATCCATGTGCACCTTTACTCTCTATTTCCATCCTTAGATGATCTTCACTCTTAGTAGATTGCTTAAAATACCAACCAAATTAGACTAAAACCATAAAGTAATTATTTTTTATATATCAGCTGTATATAATTATAAATTTTAATATAAAAAAATTCATATAAAGAAGAGTTCATCACGTCAAAGTGAATAATTATTCGGTATTATTAAAGATGTTCCTACTAACTATCATCAACCACCTTTGTGTGTGTGTACGTTTTTATTGCTTTGGGAACAATATTATTGTGAAATACGTTGTAGATAATAAGCTTGAGAAAATACTTTTTTTTAGGTAATTTGACTAGGTATTTTTTTATCTTTAGATTACTTAACTGCATTGAATGATGGTTAATTCTTACTTTTTAGACCCCTATTACTATTAAATTTAGTCTCACTACTTTCAACTTTCATTATTTAGTAAAAAATCTTTATGGAAATTGATTGATAGTTGATTGAAACTCAATTGATATTGATTTATATCAAATAATAAATTCTACAAAAAAATATAAATCAGTAAACATATTTCTTCTAGCATTTCATTGGATAATAATTCTATTCGTAAATTATTTCTATTAACAGAAGGACAAATGATCCTTTTTCTACAACTGTTTCTTCTAACTTAGAATCCTTGTAAATATTAGTATTGACCCCAACTAACCAGCTGGTCAAAAAATAGAGATACAATCAAATTGACCACTTTCCACAAAGACCTACTGATATTAATCAACATAATTAACATTGACGTTTTTTAAATAAAATATATATTTTTTACAGTGGCACAGAGGAATCTCAATCATCGAAATAGTACAATAAATGTTCCCAATATGCTTAATTCTACAAAGCAAGTAAATAAAGTGAAACCTAACGTTGCAAGAGCAAATGAAAATAATGTAGCTTCACCTGAATATAATTCCAGGTAAGAACATAAAATGAAGACAAGAGCAAATGAGCTAGGAGGGTTCTGGTCCATTAATTCAAAAGTCACACGTCGCAAACCACTTATTTAAGTTTAAATTCATCTTGCTTCTTGCGGTGAATTTTGAAGTAGTGGGTCGGAATTCTCCTACCTCAATTACTGACAAAAAAAAAATAAAAGTATTCATTTTAACAAAATTACATTTTTTTATATCACAATTCTCACGGTGATCAATTTTGTGATAAAAATTATTATATTTTAAATATTTTTTTGTTCACACCAGTGTTGAAAGTACAACAGATGAAAAGGAAGATCAGGTATGAAGACATTTGAAGGGATAGTCAAATATTTTCAGTGAAATTTCTACTTACAGTATAGTGTAAGTAACGTAACATTCAATAATCATTTCTAAATATCGACATTTTTCGCCATATCAGTCCCTATCTTGTCATTTTTAGGTATCAATCTGTGACAATATCTTCATTTCTTGTAATTTTTTTCTGTTTGAATCTATTTCTGTTTTAATAATTAATAATAATTAGTGTAACAAAAAATTTGTTATTTTGATATCGTCTTCATTCTGTAATATTAAATATAATGTCTTGTTTTTATAGAAATGTCTTTACTCACTTTATTTATAAAAGCTTTCAGCAAAGGTGTATGTTTAATAAATCTTCTAATCCTTCAATGTTTTATCCAATTGCAGCTCGTTTAATTTAGTATATTTAACAATTTCTGAGGTCTGTTTCTTTACACCAAATGACTTCTCTTTAAATGTTTTCATTTTATTATCTATAATTCCTATAAAGTCTATCAATAATAAGACATTAGCTAACAGCATGGGTATTGGCTGCAAAAAACAAGCTTTGACACAAATTTGCAACACTATTTTTTCAGTTTAGCTAATGTCTTACTATACGTTTTAAACAAGTTGTTAAAAACTATTTTAAACATATGAGGAAGTATTTGTAAAGTACTTAGCACTGGTGTTATTCCATATTCTAGAAGATATGTAATTCCAATGGTCAAACTAACAGATAAATATGTCAATATAAATAAATCTATTGAGACAAATAACTAGTTATTCATGTCACATACTTCACAGCAGATTAATGTAGCCCAAATATTTATTAGTTGTTAAATTTTAAACGATATAGTCAGCGATATGCTGTTTTCAGACCACCAGAGCAAGAGGCTACATCTTATGCCGGCTATCACCTAGCCTATGAAGTGAAAAAACTCATGTATGCTTAGCAACTAATTTTAATTTTTTCGGGGAGTCCGGGGTATCAACAAATTATAAAACATCAACTGATTATAAATTGGCACAGCTTATTCATGTGAAATGTGCACTGTTATACATAATTGGGAGCATTGAGTAAAAGTAGATATACTTAAAACCATCAGGCCTCTAGTTTGTTGATTATTAACAGACTGCTGTTTACTGCAAAAGACTTGAACAAATACGAGTGAATATGATCAATAATGCAAAATTTTTGAAACATATCTACAAGTATAATTACAATGTTGAGTGTTATATTGATTATATTATACCATGAAGCAAATAAACAGAAAATATGGTATTTTCTATGTAAAGAAATTATTAATGTCAATATTTCTATGTGATAATTTTGGTTTTATATTAGCTACCCACATATTTTTCAATACCATCACAGGAGCTCTATCTGTAGTGACAAAATACTAAAAACATTAACATTTTCTTCAAAAATAAGCTGTTTCTATCATAACGTCAGCCATATTCGAATTCGTATTATCAAACAATTTTTTAGATCCCGAAGTATCCTTAAATATTGAGTTAACTTTTGTGCTGGTCGGTACCCCAATAGTATTTATCAAAAAAAAAAATAATAAAGATCCTCAAAGTAAATGAACTCGTTAGACCTTAAAACAAATTTAATTTAATAGTACATCATTTTAAAGTTGTTGTCTAATTAAGTGTGGTTCATACCAACTATATTTTCGGTAAAACCCATTTTAGGAGATCTCTTTTGCAGTACGACAGTAGCAGTACTCATACCAGGTATTATACAGTGTGTCTAAACAAATTATATACATTTTGAAAAATAAAAAAAAAAATAATACAGATAAAAAGTTCTTTATTACTTATAAATCCATAATCAAGCATGAAATGTATGATATTTTATGTTTACAACTTGAGTGAATTACCCGTCTTCGTCTTCTTGTCAAGAATAATTATTTTTGTAAAATGTAAGATACACTTTTTCCCAATTTGTATAAATTTGTTGAGACACCCTGTAAATCTGAATTAAAATATCTACTAGAACAGTAGGTTAAAATTTTCGTAATTAAAAAATTTGTGGGAATTCCGGTCTTCCATAATACCATTATTGTTGCTTGAAATGTCTGCAGTAGCTTTGCACTGAATATGAATTTAAAGTTGATAATTTATTTAACTAAAACTTTTTTTACAATAGAATTGCTTGTATTTTTAATATAATTTGTATTTGTAGAATACTTATTATACAATTTTTTATATTACTTGGTAGCAAAGCACGTTTGGCACCCCAGTTTTTTTTCTATTAGAGGTAGCACGTTTTTGTTTAATATGTCCAAACCAAAACGCAAATGTAGAAGTAAAGTAAAAAAAAATCACATGATACAAACCTATTAATCGGCAAATATAACAAAGTGTTATGAAAAATGTTAATAATAATTTTCTTAAACGTATTACCGCTGAAAAACAGCAAAAAATTGATTTAGCGCGTCATCGGGCTTTCTCTTACCCATCTTATACATTGAGTTGGAAGTGAGATAGAAGTACTTCTCTCTAAAAGTACACGCGCGTAGGAAGCATATTGTTATAACGTAAAAAAACATAACAACAAACAAAATTTTTAAAATTTATTTAGGTTATTCGGTAAAAAATTTAAAATTATAGCATTTTAAATTTTAAGGTATATTGTTTAATTCAAGAAAATTAGAATTTTCGTCAATTTCGGATTTTAAAACATTCATAACAATTAAAGGGTTAAAGATACGATGATGGGCGTAAGGACTTTTTTATTCGAAATATCCTAAAGAATATAAAAAAAATTAATTCATTGCAAAAAATGCATCAACACTTTTATAATCAGGAAAGCCTTAGGGACATTTAAAAAAAAATTACGAATTAAAACAATTTTGCAAACGAATGCGCCAGTATGCTCTGGTCTATAAGCGCTAACAACAAACTAAGGTCAACCTATTTCAACTAGAAATAACATAAAGAGATTGATGTGTTCGAACATTAGTTGAGAATAATGGCCAAAATTTTTGCTGCTTCTTCATCACCGATACATAAAATTAGATGTTTTAATATTTCTGCGTTTTGGTTTAAATAATTTTCGCTTTCTAGAAGATTCGTTTTTCTTTAAAAACATTTTATTGCACTCACAATGTCGGCGTCAAGATGATTTCGTAAGTTTAATGACCAAATTTTAGAGCTTTTTAAAATTTTACATCCAATATTTTTAATATTACAAAAGCTCGATTTATTTTATGTATTTTCTAATTATAAAACTGTATCCATATTTTTATAAATTATTAGAACAAACCTTGTGTAGTTCTTTTTCTTTTTTGGAACGTTTCTGTTAAGCATGACATTCCTTTGTTTAGATTATTTGAATCGGAGAAAGGTTTCAAAAATTTTACTTTTGATTATATTAAAAAATAATAATAAAAGCTTTAAAAACAATTAGGATTACAAAATGGGATAGTAGATAATGGAACACATTTTTATAGATTTTCCTCCAGATCTGGGGTAATTTGCAAAATAGATCTGACAACATAGCATGAATGGTAAGTTTGTTCAATAATTCATCAGAAACTTGACATTAAATGGAAATATTTTACTGTAGAAGCAGAGTTGCTACTTAATGTCAAGTTTCTAGGGAATTATTGGGAATACTCACCACTAATTCATGTGGTGCGATATTGCCAAATCTGTACAAATTTTCCCAAATTTTTCTCGAATCCCGTTATCTTCTTGGGATTGATGGAAAATTGTTCATTTCATAGTACGATTAAAGTACAACTGAAGCTCGATTGAAGTACGACTGAAGTACGACTGAAGTACGACTGAAGTACGACTGAAGTACGACTGAAGTACGACTGAAGTACGACTGAAGTACGACTGAAGTACGACTGAAGTACGACTGAAGTACGACTGAAGTACGACTGAAGTACGACTGAAGTACGACTGAAGTACGACTGAAGTACGACTGAAGTACGACTGAATACGACTGAATACGACTGAAGTACGACTAAGTAAAACTAAAGTACGACTGAAGTACGATTAAAGTATCATAATATATCGTATCAATATTACTGATAATTATCATGTTGATTGTCGCATAAATGACAGGAATACATTCATTATTTAATTATGCAGGACATCAGGAAAGATGACTGTCCTAGACACTTTTCGGTGACAACTAGTATGTTTTTGACAAGTTGAGAGGCAGGTTTTATATGCCTCTGGGCGATACTCAATGTACTTAATAAGGTTTAAGTGCTGTAAACCCATATTACAGATACATATTGCATCCGATACGAATAAATACTTGCTTACCCTAATCAGAATTCCTCATTGTCCACCATTATTGAAATCTTTCTCCAGAATCAAAGTAGAAATTTTAAATTAGTAGATTTACCCCTTTTTAGTCATATTTATCTGGTTTTATTTAAATTTTAAATTAGACTAAATCTAATCTTTTACACAATCGTATCTTAGGCCAACAAGTAGAAGCAGCGGAGGAAATAACCAAAACAACAACGGCGTCGCTTTGCCAGTAGGCTTAGCCGATGATCAAGCGAAGGATTTCGATTTCGAAAAAACGGAAATGAAATATGACAGCACCGGAATGTTTCATTGGGGACCTGCGAAAAATTTAGAAGACTGTATATTGGTAATTATATTTATTTTAAATGTTTTAATGTCTCTGTGATCAGTGATTATGCATATTTTACAATATTGCTTCTTTTATATTATAAAATTTGGCATATCACAGCTTTGGGTACGTTTTATTGTATGTCTGTTATACCATCATGTAGATCTTATGGTTTCTTATCACAGATTTTATATTCTGAAAAAATTAAGTCAAAACTAATTTATTATTAATAAATTTCAGGACAGAAACCAAGCAGCTATGACTGTTCTAAATGGACACGTTGTTGTATGTCTGTTTGCTGATCCAGATTCTCCCTTAATTGGGCTTAGGAATTTAGTAATGCCACTGAGAGCTAGTAATTTTCATTATCACGAATTAAAACACGTCGTGATAGTAGGCTCAGTCGACTACATCCGAAGAGAATGGAAGATGTTGCAGAATTTACCAAAAATTTCTGTTTTAAATGTAAGTGTACATTATTTTTACTTCAACTTTTTTTTAATTTTATAAATTTCCTTTAGGGTTCTCCACTAAGTAGAGCAGACCTTCGCGCTGTCAACGTCAACCTTTGTGATATGTGCTGTATTCTCTCAGCTAAAGTGCCAAGCAATGATGATCCAACGTTAGCTGATAAAGAAGCTATTTTAGCATCTCTAAACATCAAAGCAATGACTTTTGATGACACGATTGGTGTGTTGAGTCAAGCGAATGGAACTGCTGAAGCTGGTACTCCCGTTGGTAGTCCCATCATATTACAACGCAGAGGTTCAGTGTATGGAGCTAATGTTCCGATGATTACAGGTATATTAACACTGATTTTTGACCAAAGGTCTTTAATAATAGGAAACATTTTATCTCCGGGTACATTACTAAATATATTGCTAACATACTTCTATATTTGCAGAGCTAGTTAATGACAGTAACGTTCAATTTTTGGACCAAGATGACGATGATGATCCTGATACTGAGCTGTACTTAACGCAGCCTTTTGCTTGTGGTACAGCGTTTGCCGTCAGTGTTTTAGATTCTCTAATGTCGACGGTAGGTTTTTAATTATAATCTTAAACCTGCAGATACTGATTTCCTTTTCTTTTAGACTTACTTCAATCAAAATGCCTTAACTTTAATTAGATCTTTAATAACTGGTGGAGCTACACCTGAACTTGAATTAATTCTTGCTGAAGGAGCAGGACTTCGAGGAGGATATAGGTAGGATGACGTGCATACAGATCGATTGTCTATATTAAAGGTTTTATTTTACAGCACTAGTGATAGTTTATCAAATAGAGACCGATGCAGAGTTGGTCAAATATCCTTATACGACGGTCCTTTGGCACAATTCGGCGAAACCGGAAAATATGGTGATTTATTTGTAAACGCACTCAAACAATTTGGAATGTTGTGTATAGGACTGTACAGATTCAGGGACACTAGTTCCTCTTGTGATGCTAGTAGTAAAAGATATGTGATAACTAATCCGCCGGATGATTTTCATTTGTTACCTACGGATCAAGTAAGAAGAGTCTGGTACTGCTGGTATCCAAATTATTGATGCTAATGATTTTTTTAGGTATTTGTTCTAATGCAATTCGATCCAGGCATGGAATACAAACAAGTTAGGAATCGAATGGCTGCCGGCCAAGGCTGCGGTACCGGCGGCGGTGGAACCAATAAAGATGAAAATTCCTGACTGCTGCTTTGCAGCGCCCTCACGGACGGCCCGTACTCATATATATAGTAGTAAATGTTACTTTTGCTACCTATTTTAAAATCTGAATTCGCTCAATGCAGAAATTATTTCTATATTGAATCGTGTAAATACGTAAAAGTTTTTTCGATATAGAAGAATTTCTGGATTAAGACGTTGTACTGTGTTAAAACGGTGTCTTGAGTGCTTTAAACATTCGATATCCAAGAATGCTGAAACGAACTTTTACTTTGGTTACTGAAACAGTCTTATCAGCTATCACCATATTTCTATATAAATAGTATCATTTCTGCAGTAAAGTCGTACAGGATGTAATTTTTTCAGTGGTTTACGAATATGATGATACGAAAATACAAATTAGTAGCTTTATTACGGTTTAGATCAAAATAGACTAAAGGAACAATTTTTGTTTAGAATTTTCGTCTGTTTTTCAAAAAACGTTTTATCCAAAAAATGGTTAGTTACTTTTTTAGCTAAAATTAATTATAAACTACCTATGGAAGGTCAAATTTTGTTAAGAAAAAACTTCCTATCCTGATAATAATTCAACAAACTTTTTTAAAACGAAGTGTAAGGTGTCTTCCTGCCTCTAAGAAACTATAAACCTTACAAGTGACGTCTTAGACTTGAAACACTCAGACGCCAGTGGTTTGCTCCAGATTCTTTTGAGGTGGAGATACAGAAAAATTCCAAAGGTCACATAGATATCTGACTAACAATAAGAGAAGCTGAAAAGAGAGAAAGGTAAGGTAAGATACTATACGCTAAAAAACTGAAAAAAAAAACCTCGTTCGACTTTACGACATAAGCGAGACCATTTTTCCCCCTAGCTGTTAGACTATACATTCTTAAACAGTTTGACCACTGATGCTGCCAACGACATACAATTTCTACAATTAGGTTTTGGTTTTTATAATTTATTACGGACTTATAGAAGCAATGATGTTGGTCACTGTTTACTGACGGTATGTTTCGATATAGATAAGTAATTTTAATGTATAATAAACGTGATAAAAATGTGCTTTTTACGCTACCTTTATTGATTTATAAGTAGTTAAATTAGTGTAAGATCCACCCAGACTGTTAATGTGTAAATAAAAACTTTATAATACTAATCCAAGTGCGGTAATGTCAACTTTATGGATGAGTTGCGTGGTAACCAAAGTGGAATAAAAGTCCAAATGAATATTTTTAAAAATGACGATTTATAAATCTCTGATAACTATTTATAAAGCTGTGGTACATTTTTAAAAGCACTTAGACTTTTATATTTAACAGGGATGTATTCGTTGTCAATTTTTTTTATAAAAAAAACAATATAGGATGGAAATGTAAATAATATTCTTATTATTTCGTTTTAAATTAATTTAGGTATATTAGAAAACGTACTGAAATAGTAAAACGTTCCTATTAAAGGATTTTTCATAGGAAGATAAATGTTTTTTTACTTGACTTGTATTTTGATTTCTTTAGTCCTAGATATACGAGGTTTGTCAAAAAACATGTTCCTTTATTTTTGACAAGATTAAAAATAGTTGTAAAGAAAAGTTTAATGTATACAAAAGAAAAACTTTTTATGTTCTCGTTGTCAGGGTATTAACTTTGAAATGCTGATTTATTTTTTGTACCTACAATTTAAAAATAATTCATTTTAGGCAGATTGCTTGTGCGAGAAATGATTTAAGTCTATGTTTTTTATACTAAGTGGATAAAAAAATGATTTCAAATAAGCAAAAATCTACCTTTCCATCCTATTCCATTTAGATATGTATGTAACTAAGGATAGGTACCAAAATACTTATTTTTAAATAAAATAGAATCGAGTACTATATTGGATTAACACATTAGTATTGCCTGTTAAATACGTTAATAAAACTAACAATTTTTAGGATCTGTATAGGTAATAAAACAGTTTTCGTTTCAATGTACCAAAAACTAGTTCCAAACTATTCCAATTTATCAAGTATTACTAATAAACTAACTTTTATAACTTCTTTTAGACTAAATGGAATATTTCGCTGGCAATACTTTTGATGTTATCCTGTAGAATTGGGTAGTTCTCGTTAAATAAAATATTTTATTACATTTTCTCGTTTTTAATTATATATTTTTATGTTTATATTAACTTATTATATTATGGATAAGAATTATTTTGTCATCTATAAATATCTTTTTCTTTTTTTAGCTATCATCTTAAAGTACAGTGTGGTACACATTTATTAATTAATCTTTTTTTACATATATAATTACTCTTATTAACTCCCTAACGAGTGAATTTTAACCTCAAAAGCTACTCTTGTCCGGGGAAGGGACGGCGAGGAAAACTCGGAAAAATATGCAAACAAGGTCGCTACATTTATAATAAATATGAAAATTTGAATACAAAAGTAGATGATCAAAGAGAGGGCTGAAGGGTTACTTCCAAAAGTCACCGCTAGATGGCGCCTTCTGTCGGTGTTGATAATTGAAATTTGGATAAGTGGTTTGTGACTCGGCTAAGCGGGTATAGATTAACGTTAAAGAAAAAATCATGCGAGAAACGAGAAAAACGGCGTTGTGAAGGAGACGTGGTATAGATTAACGCTGAAGAGAAAAATCATGCGCAATGGCATTATTATTGGTCCAATTCAAATAGGAAAAACAGTACTGTATAGGAGACGTGGCATAAATTAACATGTCTCGTAGGTTAGTCTGCGCATGCCTGTAATTTTTGAATATGACATTCTAATAATGAATCTATCAATTAAACGTCATTTTAAAGTAATGGCGAGCTAAAAAGACTAATATATGTCAAATGAAACGGTAGAATGTAAGGATCTTGTACGTTAATGCTAGTTTCAACAACACTTCATTGAAACTGCGAGAAATCACTAAGACAAGGCTTAAAATGACTGAAAATCAAAAATAAATACTTATTCCGTAATACTGATGCTACATGTTTTTGGAATCGGTACAAATCTTACAAATCGATATTGCGCATGCGTGAAAAGAGATTAGACGCGATAAAGGAAATTTATATATTAATGGATTCATTTAGAATTTTTAAAATGACAGATTCATTATTAGCATATCGTATACACATTGAAAAATTACAGGCATGCGCAGACTAACATACGAGACATGTTGTTCACCTGAATGAAGGCATTTCAGCCTATTCATCGCTAAACTATCCAACCTAAGCGTCATTTGTGAAAAGTCATCTAAACTAACGCTGAAGAAGCCACTGGAAATTCGATGAACTGGAGGAGGCCCTAGTGAGGAGTGCGAAGCCTCTGGAGATGAAGAAGATAGCGATGGCTTTGTTACTGCGCGTGATTGTTTTCTTTAACGTCGTCTGCTTTATAGTACTTTTTTTCTGTTTGAATTGGATCAATAACAATGAAGATACAGAATTAGGTCCCCTTTCCATTGTCATCTCGCAAGATTTTTCTCTATAACGTTAATCTATACCACATCTCCTTCACATTTCCGTTTTTCCCGTTTGAATCTGACCAATACCAACGGAAATTATAACTAATACCTTTTTGGCTTTACCATTGCGCATGATTTTTCTTTTTAACGTTAATATATACCCATTCACGTATACGATTGCAGTAATCTTGGATCGAATACACAAGTCGCAAACTACTTATTCTCAACACTAACAGGTGGCGCCATCTAGCGGTGACTTTTGGTAGTAGCGCTCCAGCTCTCTCTTTGATCATCTACTTACAAATAAAGTTAAACGAAATCTTATAAACGAAAACTACCAAAATTTTCTTTAACAATATTTGTTAATAACAAAGTTAATATTTTTTACGCCAAATTCCGAACACTGGCAACATTGGTAATGCAAAGTAAAAGTTTATTGGTTAAAAATAATAGCATTTTTTTTATATTCTGTACATAAAAAAAAAATTAAGATTAGTTGATAAATGTGTATTTTACAGAGCTGCTCTACTAGTAAATGGGCCACACTATATATTCTAAAGCATATTGTAGACTTTATTGTTTACTTGTCTTAATAAATCAAAATTTTTCTTGAGTTACTTCTGTCTGTCCTTTGCTATTCTTTCCATTTTGTCCAGTCTCATTTCTTTCTGTATTTCTATCTTAGTTGTTGTCTTTATTTATCCTTGGTTTACCTTTATTTCATCCTCCAATTATTTAAATCAATATTTTTATTGGTTCCCATTCTCACTACGTCTGTTCCACGCTAATTGTTTAAGTTTTGACATTTTTCTTTAATGGTTCTTTGATCAATCTTAATCAAATTTCTTTATCTCTATCACCACTCCACTTCATGTTTCCATCTTTTCTTCGTAATTCCTTTTAATTGATATTGATATACTGGTTATATTTCATCAGATTCTATTATTACAATGTTAACGGTTTAATTTTGACTATTGCTTCGGCCAAAAATCACGAAACTTTCAGTGAGTCAAAGCACAATTAACATAAGGCTTCTTGGACAACAATGCAGTGTATCATTTTGTTTTAAAAGTCCTTTAAATATAATTTCAGTTTTCATTATAACTCTGGCCCCATTCACGAACATTTATCAAATTCCCATGGTCTGAAACCACTTTATTTAGAGCTCTAAAAATATCTATAGGTACCCCTGGTTGTACCATGGAGATCAATTCCTATAACACAGTAAAACATTGAGTGATATCCAGTTCAGAACATGATCAAACATTATGTCAATAGAAAACTATTGAAATAACATGGTATTATGTAAATTTACTTGTATGAGTACCCATAAAAACAAAATAATTCTGAGATTGTAATTTCCACTTTATCCTCATGAAGCATTACATGCCACACTTCAGGCAAATGCTGCATTAGATCCTTATAGTATAACCCGAGAATACCGATCAAGGAGAAGCGACAGTAGCTGTCGGTGCCTTTGATATCGGATGGACCTTTTTCACAGCATGATTTTGATTGATACACAACTTAGCACGCTGAGAAAACATGCTTATTTTCTACACTGAGCGAAATAGTTTGGCAAATTATCTGAAATCATTGCTATAGTCCATGCGCAAATGTTGTAATGTGATTTAATTACATTGAAGTAGTTAGGGTTAATAGCAATTAATAATCATATTATTTACTGTTCGTAGTCCTTTGGAAAAGTAAATAAACTTAATCCTTGGCCTGTTTTGGACGAACGAGAACGGTATGCACAAAAATATCCAGATCCAACATTCTATTACAACATAAAGAAACACCAAAAAATATCACTCAACAGCTCACAGACTAAACACAACTTGGACTGACTTTGACAGATTATATGATTTTGAGTGATACACAACTTAGTTTCGCACATGCGCGTATCAAAACGGTACACTGAAAACACCAAGCTGTCGCTTCTCCATGATCGGTATTCTCGGGTATAACCTCATTACTAAAAAACTTTACATCTCCTTTCACTTTACCATCATTCAAATAACAGGTGTTCGTTCAATGTTCGTTCAAATACCTAGTTCAGTATAACTTGTTCCATTTTAAATATTATAACTTAGAAATTGCCCCAGTTGTCTTTCAGAAGGGGAAACATTTTCATTCCAGAGAATATTCAGTTAGCTGATCCCAAGTTCTATTTCCAGTCTGAAGTAAATATTTTATTAGTTGCCTGTGATAACCGAAACCGTTATACAAATCCAGAAAAGCTTCTTGACTTTGGTTGAAACTTTTAATAGTCTAAATAAAATCGTTATAACAATTAATGTTGCTATGCCATTTATTTTAAGAATTGATTTGAATTACCCAATACACTCTAAGCCTTCGTAGATAAATTAATCTGAACTTTGTATTAATAATGTTTCGCACCCGCCATTCCGTCTCTTTTCCAGATTTTTAATGTAGGACCCAGCTTTTAAAGATTGCTTTTTATAAAAAAAAATATTTGTCTTTGTATATAAAATTAATGAAATACACCAAAGAGTGGAAGACATTGTTGACTTGTATGGTTATTTAGCTTAAAAAAAAATGTATGTATTATATTAAGATTGTTATAAGTAGTAAGGCCATATTTTTAACTTTTAAATAATTTTTATTGTTATGCAAGAATGTCTAAGAATTTCGTACGGTTTTCAAGATAAATTTAATGGTAACATGTTTGATTTTTTGTCTTCGAAAGTAATTGAACCATTAGTTTTACAAAATTATTATCAAAACTCGTTTTGGATATATCGACATGTCAAAACATGTTGGTACCCTGAATATTTTGAAATCCCCTTAAAATATTGGTAAAAATTTTAAAACTACAACCCTACTTTTGCTGGTATCGCAGTTTTATTTATAAAATCAGGCTATACAGCTTCTACATAAACTGGATTAGACCGGTACTATTGTTTCATCGCTTCATTGATAACATTCTCTATTTTCTATTGAACTCCTACTCTCTCTAGTCTTCATAGTACCGTCTCTCTGCGCAAGTCAATCGTCTACAAACAGTAGTACCAACTTAAATCTAACAGTAAATTTGAAATTTTAAAATAACCACTACAATTTCTACCTGATGTTTCATAGTTCTTGATGTCCAATCTATTATTATTATTATTATTATCATCATTATTTGAGCTTTGAATACTTTTATTAAGTTTTCGTTTTTTAGAATCTGGTCACTTCCATTTACATTGTGTTATATCTTTTAAAATTTTTTGTTTTCTTTCCTCTTTATTTGTTTATTTATAATTAAGGTATTGGAGAGTGATTTAATGTCGAAATATCTTTAAAAAGTTGTTAGTTATTAAATATTATTCCTTAAAACTTCGTGCACCTAATCTTATGACATTCTTGTAATAAGTTTCCCAATTTATAGTGCCCAACGAATTTTTAGGTTTGGAAAAACGTCGACGCATGTACATTTTTTATATTAAAAAAGATATTTTTTGCAATAAATCAATGTTTTTTAATTCTTCGTAATAAATCTAGCAGTGCCTTACCTAATATTTCAACATTTTCCTGCCAGTGTTGTTCCTATGGTTGAACTGTTATCCTGAAAAAAAAAAAATATATAAATGTACCTACAATATTTATGTAAATTTTGGTGTATGGAAAGATTTAACATAAAATCACAAAGTAAAGCAAATTTTTCTAGATACTCAAAACGTGTTAATGGTTTTGTGAAGTGTAGGTTCGTAAATAATATCCTTGGGAGTCGATTTTCTTTTACTATACGGAGAATGGTCGCACTGCGCAGCTTTCTGAGTGCCTTTTAAAAGGAGATAGAAAACTTCGCCATTTTCATCCCTTATTACGTGTTGCCTACATCTTGGCGCAATATTTTTAATAGGTGTGTTTTCTTGTTTTAATCTGACAGGTTAAAACGACTAAACCGACAATTCCGAAAGCAGAAGCGGATGATTAAAACGCACCTGATATTTTGCTTGCTGCTGTCAGTGTCAGTGAATATTATTTTTTATTGCTAAAGAATCAGTTAGCTCACTCGGACCAGTTGAAAGTTCCAAAATAACATCCACTCCAGGGATACAAATTCAGGATACGCAGAAGACTGCTGTTTTATTATAAGCGGTTGTCATATATTGTATTATCCGAGTTGCGCAGTGTATAAACTGAAACATTGAGATCAAAAGTGCCGACGCAGAGTGAGCGATCTGATTCTTTAGCTATAAACTGTGGCATATTAATAAAAATGGCCGCGCCCTATGTTGGGCGTGTCGGACCTCTCTCTTGCACCGTATAGTAATCAAAGTATGTGCCCCTATCACATACTTTGATTTTATGAAATTGATCATACATAACCCGCGAAATCCACGTTCCTCACGTCTTCGCACATACTTTGATTTTCTTTTACTACACGGAGAATGGTCGCACTGCGCAGCTTTCTGAGTGCCTTCTAAAAGGAGATGGAAAACCACCATTTTGATTCCTTATTTCGTGTTGCCTAAATCTTGGCGCAATAATTTTAATAGGTGCGTTTTAATCATCCGCTTCTGCTTCGGAATAGTCGGTTTTCTTGTTTTAATATGACAGATTAAAACGACTAAACCGACAATTCCGGAAGCAGAAGCGGATGATTAAAACGCACCTGATATTTTGCTTCAGTCAGTGTCAGTGAATATTATTTTTGGAGTCACAGTTTATTGCTAAAGAATCAGCTCACTCAGACCAGTTGAAAGTTCCAAAATAATATCCACTCCAGGGATACAAACTCAGGATACGCAGAGGATATTGAGATCAAAAGTGCTGACGCAGAGTGAGCGATCTGATTCTTTAGCTATAAACTGTGGCATAGGAATCAAAATGGCCGCGCCCTATGTTGGGCGTGTCGGTCCTCTCTCTTGCACCGTATAGTGATCAAAGTATGTGCATCTTCGCCATAATACCCCCTTTAAAAAAATTGTTAGGCAGCCTGAAATACATTTCTGTGCATTTGTGGTTGCATAGTCTACCAATTCTCAGAAAAGAACATTTAGACATTCGCGATTCAAACTATACGCCCTCTGGAGGAAATTTATAAAAGGTCCGTATAAGTAGGATATCATTCAGTGTTGCCAGAAGTAGCAGATTTTCGCTACGTCGTCGGATTTTAGCTCTTGAAGAAGTGGACAAGACCATGGGCGAAGTTATGTCATCAGATCTGGGGGGGCTAAAGCCCTAGCCCTAGTCATATTATATATAATAGTTCTACTGAAGTTAAGTAAAAAAATTCTGACGAATTTATGAAAATGGATAAAATATCATATATCCATTCTAAACAAAGTTTTGCAAAATTTTAATATTGTGAATTTGTAGATATCCATTTATGGCAAAGAACTAAATTTTACGACTTGCACTTGGAAAATAATGAATACTTCAGTTTTGATTTTGACATTAACACCATATAGATTGCAATTTGCTGGGGACTTTTTCGCAGATTTCATTTTTAACACTATCACATACTATAAGAAATAAACAAATTTAAAGCTAAAAAGTAAGAAAAACTCGAATTGTAATTGATACAAATTAAAATGTAAACAATGAACACGTTGCCAAATGATGAACTGATTTTAAAAAAACAAAATTAATAAATGAACTGAAATTAAAAAAAAAATTAATATAATAAATCGGTTTTATAAAAAAGTCCTTAAATAAATAAAGAGTATGATTACATATTACTATACACAAATTTTGATTCTTAAATAGAAGGTCTTATCCACTTCTTCAAGAGCTAAAATCCGACGACGTAGCGAAATTTTGCTACTTCTGGCAAAAGTGAACGATATCTTACTTATAGGGACTTTCTACAAATTTCCTCCAGAGGGCGTATCACTTAGGTTGAATCGCGAATAAAGATCCTTCCAATTATATCTTCTCAAGGAAGTGTAGGATTTGGAGTGGCTTCAAGTTAGGTAAATCTCCCTCTTCTATTTGATATGCTCCTAGGTATAGTGCCTTTGGATTCTGAAGTGCTACACATTTAGTTAGAATGTGAATGAAGATTTTTTCCTCCTCCTCACAAAATCTGCACTATCTTCTACTACTCTCAGTTTACTAAGGTGTCATTTTAGTTGGCAGTGTCCAGTAAGGATCCCTGTTACAAGTGTTCTCACTACTAAAAAAATATATATTATGATAACAGCTTAAAATACAATCTGGCTAATGTGGAACACCCCGAAAGCCTTGCCAGACTCGTCTAATGACCGTCAGGCGCGCTAAATTCAGCACGTTAGATTATTATTCCTCTCCTCGTTTAACTACCTGGCTTTTCAGGTCCGACCGAAATACGGTTTTATAACCGAAACAGAAACCAAATTTCGGCTCCTTTCTTAGTTTCGGCCGAAACAGAAACAAGAACTTTCTTTTAAGGCAATCTCTTATTGAAATTTGCAATATCTCATTGTAATCCTTGTTTTAGACTAATTAACTCGTATTATAAATTTTAGCTACATTTACTTATTACCTATTTATTTATGTGATCAAAAGAAGCCATTAATAAAATTATTGACATGTTCACTTGAAACAAAGCAGAGAAGTTTGTGTGTACGTGCACTGTGTAGGAATGGCACCCGGGACAGTCGCCATTGTGCCGGACACAACCAATTGTGATACGAAAACTTTTAAAAGTAGTTTCGCTGTCACCTGCAGTTTCGGCCAGTTTTCCGCCGAAACCGAAACTGTAGTCGAAACTATTATTTACAGCCAAAGTTGGCCGAAACTGTAACCGAACCTTCGGTCGGACACTACTTGTGAGTCTGGCAGGCCTCCGTAATTGTAATTGTCAGCCAGACGTGTATTTTCACTTACGAATATTTTAAAATTTATCCTAAGTAGATGGATAATTTTCTTAAAATATGCGTGAGTGTGCAAAAATTTACTGATAATAATTTAGGCACGTTTGGTATTGGGTAAGAATACACCAAAATATCCAAATTTCAAAACTTGACAGACATGCATTAAAACGACTAAAATCAAATTTTCAAAGGTAGCCATACCACAGAATATAAAACATGACCATTTGTTATATTTGAAGTCGTTTAGTTGACGCGAAAAACCTAATTATTATTTTACATAAAATAAATGTAGTGTATTTCTACCTAGTTATAATTGGTATTAAATAAAATATTAACCACTGAAATGGCAAATTTTTTATATGCTGCTCAACTGTTAAAACATTTTTTAGTATAATTTCGTTCAGGGTACCCACCAAAAGAAAAATTTCCGGAAATGTTTCTGGTTGTCATGGAAGTGTTTTAAAATAATAGCAGTTGATTGGCTATAAAATGGAGGTGTAAAATTATAATTTAATCTATCACGTGACAAATTTTCAAACCCGGGAAAATAAAAGCAAAAATAATATATTTTTTCCATTTAGAAGATATTACCAGACTCATTAGCCAATTTCGTAAATCAGCCAGACTTATTATTATAAACAGTTCATGATTGTATCAATTTATATGCTCAATTTTCTGCCACACTCACTTTCCACTATCTGAGATAATCCAAACTGCTATTTTTATAAGCTTTATGTTCTAGTTTAGTAAATGTAAAATAATTATGACTGGGAAAATAAGTGTCAGACTCAAAAATTTTGTTTTTTGTCACTAAGAGAACAATTTATTTTTCATATACACCGACTGAAAAAATGAATACGAAAAAAATTCACTGCCTCCTGAAATAAATGTAAAATTGCAGAATCAATCAAATGGCACGATTCTTTTTATTTTTTAATTTCTGTTCTGAAATCTGAAATGTTTGGGTGGATGTGCGATAAATGTTCGAATTATTTTTGGGGGGGCTAATTTGGTTTTTGGGGGGGCTTAGCCCCCCCAAGCCCCCCCTTAACTTCGCCCATGGACAAGACCTTTTATTTAGGTATCAAAATTTGTGTCTAGTAATATGTAATCATACTCTTTATTTATTTCAGGATTTTTTTATAAAACCGATTTATTATATTGATTTTTCTTAAATTTCAGTTCATTTATTAATTTTGCTTTAAAATCAGTTCATCATTTGGCAACATTGGCGTTCCTGTTCATTGTTTACATTTTAATTTGTATCAATTACAATTCGAGTTTTTTCTTACTTTTTAGTAGTTTTTAGCTTTAAATTTGTTTATTTCTTATAGAATGTGATAGTGATTATATTAAAAATGAAATCTGGCGGAAAAGCCCCCAGCAAATTGCAATCTATATGGTGTTACTGTCAAAATCACTGATCTGTAAAATAATACAGATCAGTGGTCAAAATCAAAACTGAAGTATTCATTATTTTCCAAGTGCAAGTCGTAAAATTTTGTTTCTTACGATAAATGGATATCTACAAATTCACACATGACAGATGTCTGTATTGTAAAAATGTGTTTAATTTGGAATAAAAATCGACCTGTTTTAGCATTTTCTAAAAAACCAATGATTAATGCCGAAAAATAAGATGAAACTGTTTTAAGTGACCCACTCTGTATATCAAAAATGGCTAGATTTATCGAATTAGTTCGTAAAATAAAATTTGCTTAAAAATGCATTTTTTACAAGATGCGCTACATAAAACTGAAGCTCTCTTAGCGCTCTATGAACTGGCTTTTACAGAATTAAAATATCTCTATTACTTAACAAAGTATCCGGCCTGGGAGTTTTTATTGGTACACCCTGTATACGTATATGACTTCTTTTATATTTTTTTAAATTTTATTTTTTTTATGTTTATAAAAAATAGTTATCATGCGTTAATCTACGATGCATAAGAAGCTCTGATACAAAACAAGTATTAGAAATTAAAACTTCAAAAACATGCAGATGCCATCATCACATCTTAATTAAATTTATATGGGACCACCCCTGAGGTACCCCCTTACTAACAAAAAAAGAATCATATAAATCGGACAAGGTGGTAAAAGCATTATCGCTAAACATACATAAAAAATTAAGAGTTTGAGGATTTTCTTATGGACCCAATTAATAGATTTTGACCAAATTTATATGGGACCACCCCCCCTGAAGTGTCCCCTTTCTAACAAATCGGACACCGTGTTAAAGAATACATAAAAAAAAATATTGCGACGAATTGAGAACCTTCTCCTTTTTTGAAGTCGGTTAAAAAGATTTTTTTTGTATTAAGCCCGCAATTTGAATATTACATTTCCAATATGGCGGACGGGTATAGAACCCTCTTAAGAAATATTTCTTTAATAAATTCAGTTATCTAATAATTTTAAAGAAAACCAATTGATATATAAAACATTTTTAATAAAACCAAAAATTGAAACAATGATTAATACCCTCACATCGACCCACAAACATTTGAAGACATGCTTTTAAATAATTTTTCCTTGTCTAATCCTACATTTAGAACAATTACACCTAAACCCTAACCGACTTCGGCTTCGAAGTCTTGCATTCGTGAAAGACGAACTTTTGCCCATAAAATTATTCGGTGGATGTCTTCCTAGACGAGCTTGTTTTTCTCTCTGAATCCTTGCGCATTCTTGACAGCCTCCTGGTCGATTGCTGCAAGAAGCGTAATAAGAACATCGTCTACAATTACAAGTTCTAAAACCTTGTGGTCCTGGAGTTGGATCTCTTCGAGAAACTGATCGAGTTCCTGTTAGCATGAAGCAGTTACCTCTTTTCTCGAGTATTTTGTTTCTAAATCCATATTCTAAAGCCTCGTTGACCACATTGTACATCACGTCTTGAATCTGTCTATTATCGATGTCTCCAGATTTATCTAAACCACCAGCTATGCCTGTAGTTAGCCCATCTTGAGGTTTTCCAATTCTTACGCTACTTCTTCCTCTTCCTGCTTTATTTTCCTGCGATTTAAAGAGTTTTTTTAACTTCGTTAAGTAGTACAAAATCAAACTTTCGTTGCTCTTTCCAGGAATGGGGGAATCTGGTTTTCTATCGCGTTTTGTAAATCTTACTATTTTACTAACCCCCTGTGGTGGTTTTTTGGCGTCGTTTTTTGGAATGGGGGTCATTTTTTTTACGAAAAGGGAATGAAACACTTAATAATTTTGACACAATTTTGAATTTTGGCAGATTAGTTAGTTTTTGTTTGTATCTGGTGAGGGTGAGAACCTACTTAGATGAAATCATGGATGACATGTCGAGAATTTATAGGCTGGGAGCAAGTCATATTTGTATAATATTCTTATATTAATAGTTTAGGTGCTAAGAATAATTGGGAATGTTTTAAATATGAATGAAACACTAAAAAAATGTTGTTGGCGAGTGAGGAAGTTGTAGCAAATTCTTTTTTGTTGTAATATCTTTTATTGATTTTATAGAAATATAATTATCTTACATCCACAGTTTGCTCCAATCGATTTATAATGCATTTTGAACTTGAATAAGTTATTTTACCGACAATAATTTAACAACTTATCCAAATCATCTTAAAGGTAAACTCAGTCATTGGAATACTGAGTGAAATATTTTGAAATATAAAGTTAGCAAATTTAAAACACGTAGAAATGTCGTTGATGTACAAATTAAAGAGTAGTGTTAAAAATGGACTAGCAAATAGTTTGATTGTCTAATTGTTTTATATTGTTGTTATTTTTTGTTTTATCACCATGTATATGAAAACTTTTAAGAGGGAATGTCAATAAAAATTGAAAAAAGATGTCAACATTTTCTTGAAAGTCTCAAGCCAGTTTTAAGGTATTTCCAACCCTTAGGGCGACCATATTAGCCGCTGGCTCCAGGTAGGAGTGCGTTCCATTCCTTTCATTGTGGCGACCGTGACAGGACAAGCGGTATGGAAAAATTGATAAAGGCGCTGGAAGTACAACGAAAATCCTTTGAGAGGGCCTATGAGGAAACACTGAAGTTAGTTGATGCAACTTCAATTCATGGAAATCTGCAAGTGTTGCAGCAGAAGACAGAAATTTTTATGGATATAGATCGACAGTTATTGGAGAAGATGTTGGAGTCCGATATGGATGATGCTGAGATAGATTTGGAAGTAGAAAAGGCGGATGCCATTCTAGGGAAGTACAACAGGTTAAAGGCAATGGTAGAATTCAATTATAATAAAGATTCTGTTTCAACAAATTCATTAAAGAAAAAACATTTAAAGCTACCAAAAATTGAGTTAAAAAGATTTGGGGGTAACCTGAAGGATTGGTTATTATTTTGGGGCCAATTTAGACGTATTCATGAGGATACTGAAATTGAAATAGAAGACAAGTTTCAATACCTCATACAGGCAACCGAACGTGGTTCCAGAGCTCGTAAAATCGTTGAAAGTTCTCCTCCCACTTGTGAAAATTACCGGGAATTTTTGGGTTTAGTTACAGCCAATATTAATTTCACAACGAATAATTTAACTCAGCTTTATGATAATTTAGACTCACATCTTAGATCTTTACGATACTTTAGGAATTAGCTCAGATAAGTTTGCTGCTATGTTGTTTCCATTGGTCGAATCATGTTTACCAGAAAATTTATTACGTATATGGCAACGTAGTACCAACTATAATCCCGATAATACATCAAAATATCAACTTGATTCACTAAAAGTTTCATTAGTAAGGTCTAGCTTTGGATTAAATACTTTTAGAAAAACTGATGAAAATATGCCTAATATGATTTCTATTTCCACCGCTTCCACCTTAGTAAACAATGATACCAGAAAAAAGAAATATAATCCTAAATGTGTATTTTGTAAAGATTCACATGTCTCCATTGAATGTAACAATGAAGATATTAAGAAATTATCATTTGAGGATAAAAAGATGTTGATAAAAAGTGGTAGATGTTATCTTTGTCTCAAATTTGGTCATTTTTCAAAAAGTTGTAGAAATAAATATATTGGTGAAGAAAACGAAGATTTAGTCCCTCTAATACCGTCAATGTTTTTACAGGATATGACAGAAATAGGCACACCAGACTTAGATACAGCAGACAAAACATCCTTAAGAAGACATATAAGATATTTTTACCGACTTAGAGCTGATTTACGAAAGAGATTTCGAGAAGAATATTTGGGTAAATTGATATTGAATTCTAGACGCAAAAGTAAGGAAATTAAAGTGGGAGATTTGGTGTTCATAGAATCGGACAAGAATAAACGAATGGATTGGTTATTAGGTTTGGTTATCGAACTTTTTCCTGGAAAGGACGAGAAGGTTCGTCTGGTCAAATTGAAAACAAGTTCCGGGATGCTGTTAAGACCAATCCAGCGATTACATCCACTTGAATTAGATGAATTGGAACAAGAGGGTGTAAAAGAAGGTCTAATTAAATGTAAAAAGGCTCAGGAGGAAAAACAGAAACAGAACTCTAATGACACTTTAGAGCCTATAAATCTAAAGCCCACTTGTTGTACTTTCCCCTACAGAAGCAAAGCTGGACAAGATACAGAAGAGAAACATGAAGAAAGAAGAAATGTACCTGAAGCAAGAGGAGAGATAGAATCGACGACAATAAGAACTAGATGTGGAAGAGAAAGTAGACCGCCCAAACGATTCTAGCCATTAAATTGATTGAGTCATCAAAGAAGACTCAAGGTGGGAGTGTTAAAAATGGACTAGCAAATAGTTTGATTGTCTAATTGTTTTATATTGTTATTTTTTGTTTTATCACCATGTATATGAAAACTTTTGAGAGGGAATGTCATTAAAAAATAGAAAAAAGCTGTCAACATTTTCTTGAAAGTCTCAAGCCAGTTTTAAGGTATTTTCTCTGGTAATTCCAACCCTTAGGGCGACCATATTAGCCGCTGGCTCCAGGTAGGAGTGCGTTCCATTCCTTTCAAGTAGTGGCTCCAGATGAGCTCCCTGGAGTACTCAGAAAATATTAAAAAGCAGGATTGGATCTGAAAATACCTAAAGTTACTTTCGTAATCTATTTCTATTTGCCATCCAAATATGTTGCGCACAAGTTGTATTCAAATCTTTTTCTGTGTTATTTTTGTTCGTTGGTTGCTTCATCTAGAAACAGGCACGTACTTCAAATTTTCTAGAAGAGAAGAAAAAAGGAAAATAAAGAAATTAATATTATTATCATATTAAAAATGAAAACTTAACTTCTGAAATACCCCGTATTCACATCTTTTAATTCAGTGAGGTTAAAAACACGTTAAACGTTGAAATAGTAAACACATCTGTTTTTTCGCCGTTGAATTTCATTACAGATTACAGCCTTTCGCCAGATTATACCATTGCCTCATTACCATTTTCTTATTTCCGTCCACGTCGTTTCACTCTAAACGAAATGCATTTTATTTAGGGAAAGTCTTTGTTGTCGGCCTTTGTTTAATAGAAAACTCTCGGTCTCTTGGTCTCGACCCACCTGGCGAGAAAATTTAATGGCGGCCTCTTGTTGTCGCAAGCACTTATATTACTTTAAAGTGCCCTTAACGATTACAGAGCTTGGTCTCTAATTTAAGTTTTGAATCTTTAATCACGTCCAATTGTTGTAGAACTCTCTTATTCCTGTGCTGATTAATTAAAGTGAAAGCAGTCGGAGGGGCCAAATGATTTTAAATTATAGCATGAATATTATTAACCTTTACAAGAGGGTAGAAACAACGAAGGTGTTTGTCAAATTAAAATTTTTAACATTGAAAATGTCTATGTCGTTCGTGATGTTACGATTTTTTTTACAAGGAAAAAAGACGTACTCTTGACACCAGGAATGATGAGCGTTTGGGAATCCCTGATTTTAGTGACAGTACATATTATTTCGTAAATGTTTTAAAAATGTTTTAGAAATGTTTTAAAAATATTTCACTGGTAAACATGGATAAGAGACATTAAGATGGTTCTAAAAAAAGGTACACTTAAAGTGGTCTGGAGATAAGAAAGATATTTACCAACTAAATTGCCTCACTTTAATCCCACCATTAAACTCGTCTGCAGACAAACTAAGGTCATATCAGAGAAGTATTAAACTCGCCTGGAAAAGGATTGAAGCAAAATAATGATCGAAGGCAATTTAAAAAATTAATTTATTTTAGAACGTCTTAATCATAACATAATTAACACTAATATACAACTGCGCGTGCACCTCTAAAGGGGCGCCAAACAGGAGGTCTGTATACAATTCGAATTTTTAATTTTTCTAACGATTCCAATGAACAAGGCACTAAGACACTAAAGAAATCAAAAATCTTTTTGTCTCAATTCATGATAATATAATCAAAATTTTCAAGCAAGTACTTTGTCAGAAAAAGAGGAAATGGAGAAGAAGCAAATAGAATTTGGCTTATTTACTCAGTTTCGAAAAAATCGATATTTTGTTTTTGTTGTAAACTTTGGTTTTTCTGATTGGCAACATGTGTCTTTAGCCATAAAAAGACATGCAACATCAACTGTACATAATGTTCACATGAATACATGGATGAATTTAAAAAAAATATTAAAATTATCCACAACCGTAAACGATCATCACTTACGGGTTTTAGAAACTGAAAAAAAATATTTTCATGACGTTCTGGAAAGAATTGTTGCAGTTGTCAAATTTTTATCCAGACAATGTCTAGCGTTCCAAGGTTCTTCTACAATACTTTTTGAATTTGATAATGGAAACTTCCTCAAAGCTGTCGAGATGATTCCCTCTTTTGATCCTGTGATGAGATAGCACATTAGTCGAGTGCAAAACTCACAAACAAATTCTTTAAAATCAGATACAAAACGAAATTATTGAATTAATGTGTTCTAAAGTAAAAAATAATATTTTGAATATGGTTCGCAGTTCCAAATATTATTTAATAATTTTAGACTGTACACCGGATAAAAGTCATACAAAGCAAATAAACCTCGTTTTGCGTTATGTCGTTCTAAAAAGGCTCAAATACAAGAGAGTTTCATAGTGTTCCATCCAATATCCGACTCGACAAGGGAAGGGCTATTTGATTTTATCGTTGGACTTTTGAAAAATTTGAATTTAAATATTAAATACATGAGAGGTCAAGGGTATGATAATGAGGCGAATATGCGCGGAAAACATACTGGTTTACAAAAACGCACACTCGATGCTAATCCTAGGGCATTTTTTGTGCCATGTGCTGCACACAGCTTAAATTTAGCAGTAAAAGATGCTGTTAAAGTTTCAAATGAAACAGTTAACTTTTTCAATATTGTACAAGAACTTTTCTCTCTTCTTAGGCAAATTAATTTTTAAATAGATTTTTAATGGAATTTTATTTAATTTGACCCCCTCACCCCCTTCATAAGTGATTTTGTTGTTTCCTTTTAGGTTTTATTCTATAGTTTTTAACAATTTGACACTATTTTTATTTTAATATTTATCCTGTTATCTTTATAGAAAAATTGATTTTTTAATGAATTTTTATTGGATTTTTATTTCAGTTTACCCCTTAATCCTCTCTCTAATAGTATATTATGCAACGATCATGTAATGATGGTTATTAATACACGAGCATTAACCGGGATACGAAACGAGCCAAAGGCGAGTTTCGTATGGTTTATGCGAGTGTTTTAATAACCATTACATGAGAGTTGCATACGCTATTTTTTCTACACCCGATAAATAATCAATACCTATAAATATTCTATTTATATTGGCATTGAACACAATAACAGTAATTACTCGTATTTCTATAAAAAATTCTGCAAAATTGTAATTAATGGTATTACCTTGGGTATTGGTATTACCACAGATTTTTGGGGCAAAATATTTTGTACTGCATTTTCTCCTTTCTCCGATATGTGTGGAGGAGTCTTCTATATCGCTGATATCAGACATTTTAATATTATAATTATCGAAGTTTAGCTATCTACGAAAATTTAATACGTTTTGACAACTAAAACAATTACATAGGAATTTAGGACAAACGTCAAACATCATGCTTGATTGAAAAATTGTAGGTTTCTATTGATTAAAAATCTGTATCATAATGAAAAATCTGTATCATAATGGGTATCATTATGAAACGGATTATGGGCATATAAGTGCATTATTATAATACGGGTGTAGAAAAACACTTTTTATTTGTTTCTTAAAAATTTAGTAGTAATTTTATTTCAATACACTGTTTACTTCACAGAAAAATATAATTCGGGTGTTTTCGGTAAACGGGCTGCTGGAAAGTGGCTGCTAACTTTACACCGGTGGTACAAATATGGCTTTCAATATATGTTAAAGATAACGACTTGCAAGGTCAAATAGGGTGTTTGTCAACCCCTCCAAAGCGAATTTTCCCACTATTTAATATAAATCAAATATCTCTGCTCCTAGACATAGAAACATTTTTTTTCTAGCATAAGTTAGGTACAAAATTTCCTTTGGATAAGAATATTTTACAAACAACATACCTGCATTAAATTGTCACCGCAAATTCCTAAGAAAAGATCAGCATCATAATTTGGTTCCGCCATCAAACTACTTTAAATAATCAACCAAATGAGTAACAGCCATGCCGAATACGTATTGTAGTGTTCCAAACATCTGGTTTACCGCAAGGATCGTTTCGTAACCGTACAAGACAAGCCCACTATAACCTTCGACTCATTATACAACAAAATGCCTCGACTTGGAATCCCCCTCTCTGAATAACTCATTGAATGTACCGGTTCTACGTCCTCAGCATTGCAGTTCTACCTTCTGGGTTCTCTCTAACAATTTAACCTCGAGTATCTCGCTAGCCAAATACGACGAAGTAACTTAACTAACTGTATTTCGTGAATAAAAGGCGTTGTAACAAGATTTCATTTTTACGGCAATCATCTCTCTTAAAAGGTTTGATGGAATTGTAATTGTCGCAATTTGATCGGTATTGGTGTTGTGATTGTGTGAATTTATTGTGAGTGATCGTTTGTGGGTTATCTTGTGTAATTAGAAAGTGCCAATTTATGGATTACATTGCTTTTGGATTACCATTTATTATCTAATGAGAAAGTGCTGATGGTGAGTCGTTACAGCTTCACGCAATTTAAATAAGATACAGAAATACAATAGAATTGATGTCCTCATTTAGAATTCTCACTATTTAAGTAACTAACTAGTTCTAAGTCGTTCTCATGTACAGTAGAAATTTTTGTTTACAGTTAAATAAATGAGTAACTAATTTTTACACAAATCTTTGGTATACTTCGAGGAATTGTATTGGGTCTAGTAGTTTTCATCGATTTTTATAACTGTAACTAACTGTAAATAATTGCAAATGTACTAATAGATAGTTGCAAGGTTGAGGAAATAATTATTTGTGGTGAAGAAGAACTATTACAATCTTATTAAGAATTCAATTACTGTTATTAGTATCTTTTTTATATATACTTATATACAGTTATATACAGTTTTCAGATTACTTGTGTTATTGTTTTGATACCTATAATAATGGTTGAAGCAATAAAAGATGCAATTTACGGAGTTCAACGACAAAAGTTTGATGCCGAAAACGACATATTCATAGCTCAAACGGTTGTCCAAATATTGAATTACAAAGTTTTTGGTTTTTGTAGAAAAAATTAACCAAATTGGATCTAAAGTTCCATTCTTATCAATAATACCACCACTGTGTACTAATTTGTCCGCTTACGCAGAATGCATATCGCGTGGTATTCGGTAAACCGAGGAAAGTTTGTTGAAAAAAAAAAGAAATTGTTTTGATAAATTCCGATTAATTCAAACTGATCAATATCGTGTATACCATTTTGTTTCACTGGTAATTCTTTCTCATGGCGCATCCTTAAGTAACTTTTTATCTTCAGTATCATTTCTCAATCCTGTCATAATAACATTTTTCTTTCTTCTTTTCTTCTCTATCCATTCTAATCTATTTTTTAATTTTTATTTATTTTTGATTATTAGACATTAAAATGAATATATAAATTCCCCTTTTCCTTAAAAGGTTCTTAAACGAGGCCTTAAATCTCCCTAAATCTAGGGAATCCTGATCATCAGTCAACTAGCTTGCGTTCAGGTTAGCTTGTTTTGGTTCTTTCGCGAACTAGTTCAGAATCAATGAATTACACTCGTTCAGCTCAATAGGTTGTTAAACCATCGCGATGTAATCTTGAAAAATGAATTCGTCGATTGTATTTGAGAACTGGAATCGACGGTTCTGTAATAACTTTCAATAAATTCCAAGACCTACTCATGTTAGGTTGGAAGTGGCAACAGAGCTTACACCGTCATAGATATTTATGTTATTTATTATAAACGCATAGCGGCTTACACATTTATTCATTGATGAAGATCTGATGTGTCCAACACATGACTTTCCTATCTAATTATTACAGTTTTTTTTGTTTATTTTTTATAACCTACTGTAGCACCTCTGAAAATATTTAGAGGTTAACTTTATATATACATTTTCCACATACATCTAAACATTTTTCTATATACACTCATTGCCAATGAAAATGCTGAAAAATTTAAATTTTATACTTTTCCTTTTATTTAAAGAATTTTGTTCTCTAAACGTAAATAACAGATATATTCCATAAAATATCAAAATGACCCTCTATAAAGTACCCCCCCCCCCCCAGATGCTCCGACTCTGCCCAAAATCTAATCAGTTCACCTCAGGCCGGAATAAAGCTTAAGTTTAAAATTTTTGAGTTTTCTTTAAAACTCGAAATTTACACTTTTTCTCAAATATCTCGAATATGGTCCATTTTAGAGAAATTATGAGTGGAATAATAATAATCAATTTTCATAAAAATTAGCTTTTTTACATTTTGTCAAATTTCTCGAATACGGACCATTTTAGGAAAATTTTGTAAAAAACAAAAATTATAGAGAACAATATAAGAAGTAACTTTTATTTGACGAATTTTCTTCTCCAAACGTACATAACAGATAAATTTTATAAAATATAAAAATGACCTTCTATAAAGTACCCCCCCCCCCCAGATATTCCGACTCTGCCAAAAATCTAATCAGTTCACCAGTTCACCGTAGGCCGGAATAAAGCATAAGTTTGAAATTTGGTGTTTTTCTTTGTATCCGTTCATGAGTTATCGTGGATATAGACACACACACATACAAACATCATCGCGAAAATAGACAAAACGGATTCAGGAAACCCCAAAACATAAAAATCTGTCGAAAACTCGAGGTCGAAAAAATAATGATTTTTATACTTCCCTTATCTGTATACAGATCGGAAAGTAAAAATAAGTTGCATCTGCGTAAAATTCTTCTCTTCATCCCCTCTCTTACTCCTCACCTTTCGTCTCCTCGCCGCGACCCTACAAATCGATTGTCGAATTAATTTTGGCATCGTGAATATTATATTTTATGAATGAATGGTTATACTCGTATCTCTGTTATTTCTAGTTTACATGTACGTGTATTACTTGACGCATTTGAAAGTTTTCTTTTAGGCTACAAAAATGGTAAATGGTGAGTACAATAATGCCCGGGGATATGTGACAAGTTTGATAAACCCTATATATGCATACAAGTTCCGGCAGTGTTTTTACACGAATTTAGCACCTGCTTGTTTTGAATTTGTACATGTTAATCCATACTGGTTATCAGTATTCAGTAAGCATGACATTATTGTGTGATAAAGTATTTTTTTTACAATTGCTAAACAAAGTAATATTTTTCTCATAGCTTACTTTAAAAGATTTTAATTTCTCACACTGTGACTGATAACCGTGAGAAATCATTTCTAATAAATAAGTGTAAAATTCCAACCTACTTAATAAATAATATATGATGATATTGATGATCTAACATTTTGGGAAACAGTGTGGGGAATAATCGGGAATAATAGAATTTTTTGGTTAGGTTAGGTCTCGGGTTAGGTTAGGTTAGGAAGTTGGCGAACTTTCTACGGTACGTTAAGTTCTTAAGTTACGTTACGAACATTTATAAATAAGTATACGTAAATTCAATATTTCAACTTCTTACGTTAAGTTCTTAAGTTACGGTGGTTATAAATTAAGCTTTAGAGTTTATGGTTAAAACTGTCAAATTTATATAACATTTTTATTAAAAAAGCAATTTTATTTTAAACAAAATATTAAGTAACTATGGTTGACATAAATAGTGATTCTAAAATATGACATTGTTTCTGGTTTATTCAAAAAAATTGTCGATTAAAAACCATTTCGCGACAATAAGATTGAGTGCAATACAAAAATCTACTTGAGTTGTACAGTATATTTTTTCTACAACTCAACGACGAAAATCTTCTAAATTTTAAAAAATAATTTAGAAGTTAAGAAAAAAATCTATTTTAAAAATAATACAATAATTTGAAATTATGAATTTTAATGTTAAAGTAAAATATGGTCAATAAAATAATAAAATCACAATCCTTAAGGCGGCGTCCGGTCATATCTCGAAAACTGTTTATCCGGATAATTTTGCAATTTTTTTAACAAAATCGTTAAAAGAAAATAGGTACTTAAAAATAATTTTAACTTTGTAACTTTCCACTATGTCACGTGATATACCAGATAATATTTTCATAAAAATCTATGTAATTTTAATATAAATATGATGGGTTTCATTATTTTTCTGTGTTGGTTGTACGGGATGTAACGGAAAGACAACATTTAAATATGTTTAGTTTTAAAGAAAATTCCTAGAGGTCAACCTAGAATCAAAACATTTGAATGTGGCTACTTCAAAATGAATTGAAGAAGGTGTGATTAGAATAATGTAAATATGTCTCTGGATAATAATAGTTATAGTCTTTCCATTATCAATTGCAGAACACAGTTATGTGGGGAATCATCAATATTTAATATATACGCACGGTACTCATGCCAAATTAAGAAACGAAAAATAATGTTTACTCCCCTTATACAAAGCGGTAAATATTAAACGAACCATCAGTTGTTTACCAATGAAAACATCGAATCGTAAACTTAAATGCACTGTATTGGCCGAAGGTTTACGGAAGGCAGGTGTTCGAAAATATTCCTGGAAGACAGTCTGCGATATCAGTGGAGTACTGTCGTGCGGTGTGTTTTGTATGTGTGGTTGGTTTAATTTAAATTTGTTTTAATAAATATAAATATGGCGTTCTTTAGACCATGGGCGAATGAAGAAAATGAAATTACACAGTGTAGTGAGATTAAAGACAGGTATGACTTTAACGATAAGGATTTAGATATACAAACACAACAAGTTATTTTAGATATATTCGAATGTTTAAAAAAGGAAAATATTCAGCAGTCTGATAATGCGTTCATAATAACAATTGCTGAATTAACTAAAGTAAATACATTTTCCGTTTATCCGGTAGTCACGAAAGGGGTTGCTGTGTATTATTCATAAAACCGAAAAACATGTAAAGAAAAACTGAAATCAGTTGACAGAGCTACCCAAGATTTTATACGAAGGACAATTTATAGTTTATATAAGGAGAACAGGGTTCCGACATTGGAAGTAATACAGCAAAAGGTGGTAGATTTTCCAGGATACACTTATACCAGTTTGGAAACATTGCGTTAAGTTTTGTCAGCATGTGGTTTTAAACACAAAAAATTGAATAAACAGATGGCAATCACCGAATCGTCAAGGATAGTTCAATGGCGACAAGATTATTTGTGTCAGATAAAAGGCTACAAAAGTTCTAATAGACACATAATTTATCTAGATGAAACATGGTTTGACAGTCACGATGTAGTAAATTTCGGTTGGGTTGGCAGTAGTAAAAATTGCTGTTTGAATGGGCCATGTTCTAAAGGGAAACGCATTATAATAGTACACGCTGGAAGCAAAGACGGTTTCGTGCGCAATGCTTTATTATTATCTGCTAAACAAATTAAAAACTGTGCAGCTGATTATCATGAACATATGACAGCAAAATTATTTGAAAAACGGTTTAATGAACAGCTTTTACCTTACATTCCACCACATTCAGTAATCGTTATGAACAACGCATCCTACCACTCGCGGCAACTCCTTAAAATACCAAATAGTAGCAGTAAAAAAGCTCA